GAGATAGAGAGTCAGAAACATCGATGAGAGAGAAACATCGACCAGCCGCCTCCTGCACATCCCCCACTGGGGATGTGCCCGCAACCCAGGTACATGCCCTTGACGGGAATCGAACCCGGGACCTTTCAGTCCGCAGGCCGACGCTCTATCCACTGAGCCAAACCGGTTTCGGCAAAATTGTGTATTTTGAAAGATTGTTAGTAACCTTGGATAGGTATAACTGAAGGCAAGTTCACTGTAAGGTGTGCACGTCTGTGTGTGCTCATTGCTCTGCTGGGAAAGTATATAAACTAAAGCTCCAGAGAGAAATTTTCATTCTAAAACTTTTACAGAGGGTGAAAGATTGTTGTATCTTTTAGGGTCCACCATTGAAGGATATAATGTGAGATGAGAGGGGTGGGGAAAATGGAACATGTAGGCTGGAGTTTGGAGAGTTTTCAGACTAGCTACAGAGCTCCTGGAACCACTGATCTACAATAGGAAATCCAGTTGCAGGACAGAGAAAAAAGTGAACAACTGAAGAACGTATAACTATAGTTCAGGGGTCCTCAAACTTTTTAAACAGGGGGCCAGTTCGCTGTCCCTCAGACTGTTGGAGGGCCGGACTATAGTTTTAAAAAAAACTATGAACAAATTCCTATGCACACTGCACATATCTTACTTTGAAGTAAAAAAACAAAACGGGAACAAATACAATATTTGTATTTGTATGTGGCCCGCGGGCCGTAGTTTGAGGACCCCTGCTATAGTTGGTCATATACATTGAAAATATCTTTGAAAACATTAGTTAAATAACTTATGCTTTCTGAAAAAAATTTGGAGCTTTATAATAAAGTCAGAGTTATTTGAGTGATAGCTACTCAGTGATTTTAGAGAGGGTAGAGGTAGGAGGAGAATGTGTTACCAGGAAACAACAATCCCAATAGCGTCCAAGGAAAGGAAATATTAGCTATGATTTTTATGCTGGAAGAAAAATGGGAAATTTAAAAGAAGTAGACTGCCAAATCCATGCCTACAGATAATTGATTAAACACCCAAATGAGTGAGGCATAATGAATGCTGTATCCATTCAGAAAAGAGAGATTAACATGAAATTACCATGTATGTATTTATAGAAGTAAAATTTGAAATAAGGCTCCTGAAATCTACTGATGCTCTTAACCACTTTTAAACTAGCCATGGGTTTTGCTGGTAGGTGCTTAACTTGTATTACCTGACTGTTCACTTATTTCTTTATGATCACACTAGATTTTTTACTGCATGAAGGATATACTTACAGTGAAGAGATCTTACTGTCTCTTCTTGTGAGTTATTTTATTATTATGTCCTCAGTTATTCCAGTTTTCAACTATCCTATTGCCTGTTGTGTTTATGAGTCTGAGGGTGACTTCTTTTTGGGTGTCCTCATATTTCACTTCTGATTCTGACGTTAGTCACATGGGCATTTGGTGAACTTTTAAAGAAATCCATTCACAAGTCCATCACTCTTGCTGACAAATTAAACAGTGCCATTCTGTGGGTAGACTGTTATCCATGTTAAAAAGAATTAACTACATCTTTTCAGTCTATCTCCTTCCCTCAGGCTATGTTTCTTTGTGCCATTACTTACTGCAACATCCGGAAGACTGTAAACTGGGGTTTGGGGGTGAGGGAATAAGGAAATAAAAATGCTTGTGGGCTCCCTTGCCTATGGTGGCTGTTAGAGACGGAAAGGTGTGGTCTTGCTGAACATGGAAGCCTGTACACTTGTGGGAGGCCTGTGTCTGGGAGGTGGAGCTTGGGCTGTTGAGGGTAGAAGACCATTCAGACTTGATGTCCAAAACACTGAGCAGGGACCATGCAAAGCCACAGGAGGGAGCCAGATGAACTTACCAGCCTTCTTAGCTGCTGGGGGTGAGGACAGGAAACAGTGCTCTCAAAAAAACCTCATTTTATTATTTCTCTTAGGTGAGGAGGTTCCTACCAGTGTGTGTTATTGGAAGTCATCCACTCCGGTAGGGTTATTAGAACCGCATGACTCCATTTATGTAATTCAGATTTCTCACCGTATCTTATTATGAACAATCTCCAGCAGACCCTCCTCCTCCTTCCTTTTACCTTAAAACATTGTAATGAAGGCCTAATTAGATCCTGAAATTATTTCATTGGCTCAGAGAATCAAATCGGTGGGAGTTTTATAGGAATGGTACGACTTTCAGGGCTTTAACCAGCATAACTTACTTAATGACTTTTTGTGTGTTCCTACGCAAAAATCAAAGCAGGTGAGTTTTCGTTTATTTAATTGTCAGAATTCTAGTGGAAAAGGAAGATAGGAAAATCCAGTTACAGATTTATCGTTTTGAGGGAAATTTGTGCTTTTATTTTATTTATCTGACTGCTATGACACACCCTAGATCCTATATTTAAGAATATAAATGCTGTATACAATGAAAAGAAGATGTACAATGCCACATTACTTATTTGTGAAATTTTCAAAATAACTTGATGGAAGTAGTCACAGTGTGTCCATTGAAAACTACAAAGCTCTTGTCTGTTGTTATTCATGTATATTTATGCATTTAAAAATGTCTTTTCCAGGATAAGCAGATTCAATGAAGAATGAGCGCATTTTTCAAGCAAGGCTTTATAGGGAAATATATTGTTGAAGACTCAGAGGCGCTGTCTTGTCTGTGGGTCTCGGCAGTGTTCAGTGAATGACCTCAATGCTGTTTTTATTCCTTCCTTCTCTAATGATTGAGGACAGACAATGAATTCGGTCTCTGTACTTGCCAGGGCTCAGCTGGGTAGTGACTATTATGCCATTGTACTCACGGGGGAAGGGCTGCCCGGTTGGTAGTGCTGTGGCTCCCAGCCTGCCCTGACATTGCCAATCTCTTTTCTTTCAGCCGCATCATCCCATCAGCCCACAAAATGTGCTCTAATAGAGTAGGAGACACTCCTAGGGAGGTAGGGAATGAAAGATAAAATTAAAGACCACTGAAAAGGCATCTAAGTCTGCGGCAACCATAAGCTTTCTTTGCTTTGAAATGATAGTGGTGTCTGATGGTGGTGCTGTCATAATGTCTAGAATTATTTTAATGTAGGCCTTTCAGAAACCCAGGTGTTTTTATTAAGTTCTTAAGCATTGTGTGTAGAAAGAATCACCAGCTTTGAACAGGACCCTTCCCTTGGGAGCTACCTGGTGCAACTAGTGGGGAAGGATGTGTATTCCTTCTCCTGGTGATAAGACTGGGAACTCTCCCCGCTTCCCGTCCTTGTTGGGTCACTGTCTCGCTCACGGCAGCTGGTAGAGCAGTGGTTCTCAACCTTCTGGCCCTTTAAACACAGTTCCTCATGTTGTGACCTAACCATAAAATTATTTTCGTTGCTACTTCATAACTGTAATGTTGCTACTGTTATGAATCGTCATGTAAATATCTGATATGGAGGATGGTCTTAGGTGACCCCTGTGAAAGGGTCGTTCGACCCCCAAGGGGGTCGCGACCCACAGGCTGAGAACCGCTGTGGTAGCGTGTTCATCAGAAATCATGGCACTGCATGTGCATTCTTAAGTCCTGTCGATTGATACTGTTTTGCAGGAGTTTAAGGTCTTTTTTTCTTAATTAAGTCTTTAAATGTCTATGTAGATCTTTAAGAAGTGATTCAATTTGCTTACTTAGTCATGGAGAGGATTCTTTTGTCCCAAATATTAGGAACTTGTCACCAACATTGGGGTTGGTCATAATCCCAGTTCTCTTGCTTCCACTCGTCTTAGTCCAAGTTTAAGGGTGAGAATCTAAAGTTTTTCCAGTGATTTCCAAGTGGAAAGTGAGGACCAATTAGGATGCTCAGCATATTGAGGGCAGTGTCTGTACAGCTTAATGATGTATGCACGTAAAACGGGTGGGCAAATGATGGCCCGCAGCTTTTCTGTTGTACTACACGGGAGCTAAAGATGGTGTTTACATTTTTAAAGGGTTGTTTTTTTCAATTGAAAAAAGAGACTGTATGTAGCCAATAAGCCCAAAATATTTACTGTTTGACACTTTACAGAAAATAATTGCAGGCATAAAATACCAAGAGTAATACTGGAAGTAGCAAGCTGATCCTATATAACAAAGAGCTAATATGCTAATTAGACCGAACAGCAGAAGGACCGTCCAGACAACCGTCTGGATGATCTTCCTGACGAAGCTGGGGCTGTGAGGGGCTTCGAGGGCCAGCCGAGGCAGCCGGGGCTTGCAAGGGCTGAGCCCCTTACACGAATTTCATGCATCGGGCCTCTAGTAATAATAATAAAACTCTATGGAAGCTGGTATTCCTTTTTATGTGTTTTTCTATACTTTATCTGATTTAATTTTTCAGAGATTGGTTAATTTGTCATTTCAGGAACTATTTTTAAGCAACTATCTGTAGGATTTTAGAAATCTTAAAAATAAGAAAATGTAAGAGGATATGATACATAGGTTTTGGAATTGGGGGGGGGGATAATAAAGCCAAGGATGAAATTGGCATATTTGACATATAGCCCCAGGCCTCTGAACTTGCTAGAGGATGGCTGCAGATGTGATTGTGAAGTCCTAGTGTCTGTCCATACCAATGCAGAAAGCACAGACTAAAATTGAGGACAAAGTTGCCTGTATTCCATCATTATTATAAATTCCTCTTTCCTTAATGGCCTCGGTCTTAAAAGAGTCCAGCCGTGGGCAAACTACGGCCCGCCGTTTGAAATGAATAAAACTAAAAAAAAAAAGACCGTACCCTTTTATGTAATGATGTTTACTTGGAATTTATATTAGTTCACACAAACACTCCATCCATGCTTTTGTTCCGGCCCTCCGGTCCAGTTTAAGAACCCATTGTGGCCCTCGAGTCAAAAAGTTTGCCCACCCCTGGTACTAGTCCTTTAGCTGATTAGTTGGTGTGCTTTGTAAATAGGCAGCACACTGGGCTGAATCAGAGCCGCTTCTGCTTCAAATGCTGAAATTGGCTTTCTTCGCTCATCTCAGCTCATTATCCTGGTGTCTTTCTTGCAAACTTGCATGATCTCTAAAGCAGTGTACCATGGCAGCCCTTCTCTCAAGTTATTTATTGAATTAAAGGCATAAATAAGTAATCTCTCCTCAAATTAGTGCTTCCCCCTTCTTTTTAATCACAGCCATTGACATTTAGCAGCCTGGTGAACATGATGGATGACACTTGAACTTCTTAAACAGTTGCCTACTTTATCACATCTGCCTACACTTCCCACTCTGCAAAGTGGAGCCTCTCAGACACCATCTCATGCATTTGCAGAATATTGGTGCTGCTTCTTTAAAGCCAGGCTGGATTGTCCCAATTCTAAATAAAAGCGGGCCTTTCTGAGGTCTATAGTTGTGTTCAGTGACAATCATGTTGATTACATATTCGAGGCTGTCAGTTTGGGATAAGTACTATTCACATTAATCTGGTTCTAAGTATGTTTTTTAAGGCTAGAAGGCTGGATTCAAAACTCTTCATCTTCAGAAGACATGCAGATATTTCCTCGACTTTTCTAATTTAATTCCTAGGCTACTTGTGAATCTCTAAAACAAATTTGATTAAGACACACATGGAGTTCACTTTAATGTCATTAGGTGCTGCAGGCTCTCAGAAATCGATTCGGGAATCGGTGATAGACAGATGAAAACTGGCTGCAGGTAATTAGCACTGAAAGGCTGCACCTTACAGTTTAGCACTCAAGTGTGTGCTGATTTCTGCCATAATTTCATTTTGGGTTCGTTTCACTTCTCTGGGTGGTTAGCCCCTGAATTATATTGACTATTTTAGATTTCTTCAGTGGCCTGTAAAGCACAAAGCAGTTAACCAGGTTTTCAGATAATGGCTCATGTTTTAAACCTTTAAATTATACTTTAACTGGTTAACTGCCACGATACTTTGAATTTAATTTTAAAAGGTCCGCCGCTTACGTCTATAGACACTTATGGCGTACAAATGGTTAAGAATAATGTGGACTGAATGTGCACTTACATTTTCACTGCATCTGTTAACCTTTTTCCAGTTTACGTTCACTGCATATGTGTATTTCTGAATTTAGAACAGTGAACAGGAAGTGTGGGTTATATTTAAGATAAATTTACAGAAGTTCATGTCAGCCCTCTTGGAAATACCCTATTTGAAAGCTTATTATATTTAAAAAGAAAGCAAATGATTCTCTTTTAGGTTAAATCTTAAAAGAAGTGGTCATTTTAACGTCTCAACATTACCCATAGTGAAACATCTGATCAAGATTACAAAATAAGTCAAGTTTCTTTCTTAAGGCGTGGAGATTTTTAAATTCTATTCTGTGATTGAGTGAAGTTAGGAAAAATAGGACTCTTTCAGTATCTGATTTCTGAAGTTTCAAATCCTAAGCAACTGCTCAGCAACACATTGTGTTAGTGGCTTCGTCTAACACAGCGGTTCTGAACCTGTGGGTCGCGATCCCTTTGGGGGTCGAACGACCCTTTCACAGGGGTCGCCTAATACCATCAGTAAACACATATATAATTACATATTGTTTTTGTGATTCATCACTGTGCTTTAATGATGTTCAATTTGTAACAATGAAAATACATCCTGCATATCAGATATTTACATGACAATTCATAACAGTAGCAACATTACAGTGATGAAGTAGCAACGAAAATAATTTTATGGTTCGGGGTCACCACAACATGAGGAACTGTATTAAAGGGTCGCGGCATTAGGAAGGTTGAGAACCACTGGTCTAACAGATGCTTAAATTCTCATGCATTTTAGGGTATTATTTTTTGTTTAACTTCTTAGAGTACATTCTGATATAGATTGTCATTTTAGTAGCTCTGAGCTCCTGAACAGAAGGAAAAATATTAAGTCGGTTTTAAATGGGTTGTAAAAGGTGCAGATTGGACTTTACCTTTAGGTATTTCCTGTCATATCAGTAAGTCACACGCACTTAGGTAGCGGGGAAAGGCGCAGATATGGGCATAGCAAGGCTGTTGGGCACAGGCATCCTGCATGGTGGCTCCATGAAGTGCCTCCATGGAAGTTTCTCCTCCTGCAAAGGGGCAGCGTGGTTAGACAGGGAGAGCGTGGTGTCACCCGCTGGCTGAGAGGTGCTTATCACAACCCAAACCAAAATAAGGTCCATTGAGTGGCCTTAAAGTGCAGGGCACCAGCCAGTCTGGAAGATGTCTTATTTAGAGGGGCATCCCCAAGGCCCAACAAAGGTTTCTGGTGAGTTGGCATGATGAACACTATTCTATTCAAGCCTCAGGGACATGCAGTTTAATTTAAATAGACATTGGCATGAGTTAAGGATTGGTACATAAAATAATAGTTGTCAATTTTAGTTCATACTCTCTATATTATTTTTATATATATACTAACTACTAACTATTTATATAGTTATTTTCAATAGGGAAACAAGTTCTGTTGTTAAATCTCTATATGTCGTTGCACTTTAAGGTAGTGACCTTTATGCTGCTGGGGGCATCTTGAATGTCTTTCAGTAGTGCTGATGTAGAGTACAGCTTAGGGAATACTGTCAATAATACTGTGGGCACTGGAAATCTCAGGGGGAACACTTTGTAAAGTATATAATTGTCTAACCACTATGCATACACCTGAAACCAATACCAAAAAATATTGAAAAGTAAACTGTAATTGAAAAACAAAAATTAGGGAAACCAGTACTTGAAAAGTGGAGTGTCCTTTGAGCCACTTGATCATACCTAAGCGGATCCCTCCTTTTCAGACCACAAGGTCATGCCCAGGTGCCAGGGTCCCGTAGTAGTAAGTTGCATGAAGACTAGGCATGGTACTGGCAAGAGGCACCCTATGAGAAGCTGCTTGGCAAACTACAAAATAGCCATGAATGCCACATACCTATACTGACCAGATGTTGCACTGTGGTTGGTCTTTCCTAGTTCCCGTGCCCATTTGGACTTTCACAATCAGAGATGGCAGCAAAGGTAAGATTTTTGTTGTAACTTATAAGAGAAAAAGGTAAATTTTAGTCTTTAAAGTCTTGGTGTTCTCATTCCATGATGGAGAAGACCAAAGAAATACATCAGAAACGAAAAGTAAAAGCACCACTGGGTGCGTTGCTCAACATCTTTTGTACGTGGGACTGAGGAATAGGCTGGGCCAGCAGGCATTTAGGGGGCAGAGAGGGAGGGACCAGAAAACATGCCATTCATTAGTCCATGTGGTTCTTGGCAGGCCGTTTCAAACTGGGAACTAGTTGCCTAATTACAGTGGATAGAAAGGGCCAAGGTGATAGATGTCCAGTCCTTATCTCTCCCTGCATCCTACCTAAAAATGATCATTACTAGCTTCTGTCCCACTTTTTTATGGCCATAACGTTAAGCTAATTATCCTGTGCGTACCTCACGTACACATACTTCAGAGCGGGTGTGCATAACTCAGTTTCCATTGTGGGCATGGACCTGTCATGTCCTCTTTGGCCCGCAGCATCCTACAGTAGAGTAGGTTGTTAGTAGATACTCAGTAAATATGTGTTGATAAGTTGATGAAACATTTAGGGATTTATCTTGAGGATGAATTGCAGTGTCGAGCCTACACCTCCCTTTATTTTGTAGATGACATCATCGGAAACTACCACGCCTTGGTCTTGTCATCCAGTATATGCAAGATACTGGCAACATTATTATCAAGCAATGGCTTGGATGCGAAGCCACCAGAATGCCTATCGGAGGGCCATGGAGTCTTATTTCTGTTCCCCCTGGTACTTCACTCCAGGAGGTCTTCCCCAGAGCTTTTATGCTAAGAAAGGTAGATCTTTTCAGCCCTTCTATGACCATCACCTGTCCTCCAAGGACTCCCACTGTGATTATTCACATTCTCCAAGGTCTGGGCAGCGTCCTCCTGACACCACAAGCGAAGACCAATCTTGGACCACAGAAGAGGAGGCGGAGACCGACTCAGATGATGAGGTGGAGTGCGACCTGAGCAACATGGAGATCACAGAGGAGCTCCGCCAGTACTTTGCAGAGACCGAGAGGCACAGGGAGGAGCGGCGTAAGTGCAGAGCTGCCTTCACAAGCTTGCTTTCCTTGCCCTGCATTCTGCAGCTTTCTCTCCCCCAATCCGTAAATTTACTTTCTCCTCAACTGGGCACAGATACTATTCCAAATCCAGTCACAGGCCTGGAAAAGCCATGGTGACATGGCACCTCAATTATATTAGTTTCCAGAGCTATTTTTATATAGGACTTTCTTTTTAGTTCTAGAACAAATCTTCACCCAATAGGATCTCTAACATTTATGGAATATTAGAGACTCCACCAGATGGAGAGTGTGCATGTGTGCGCATACATGTGTGCACACATGTGTTCCCTAATCTACACAATAGTCCCTCGAGGTATTAAACCCATTTTACAAATGAGGAAAGTGAGCCTTTAGAAGGTTATTTGACTTATTCCATGGTACACAACTAATAATTTGCTGTCAGGAATCAAACCAAGGTCTGCCTGACTCCAATTCCTGTGCTCCTTCCTCATGCACAAACTTAGGGATTGGGTTTTGTACCGAAGACAACTAGGTTCCTAAAATACTGTTGCCAACTCATTGGTACATAGCTCTGGGCCTTCCCTGGTACTGCAGACCTGCCATTTCTTAAACATTAAGCTCCCTGCCCTCAAAGTAGAGATCAGTCTGAACCTAAACAGAATAACAAAATGCCTAGTACTTACTTACATTTTCCGATTTGATCCTGCATTGAGACTGTCTTCCCAGGGGTTAGAGAGTTGTGATAATGGTCTTATATCTTCAGTCAGAAAGCAGGAATTTTCTTTTTTTAATTTTTGACTACAAAGAACTAGAACTGCTTTTGGTGCTGTTCTTACTATTGAAGTTATCAGATCATTTACATTTTAAGTGTCTCTAATAAATATACAAATATCTATTTTTTTCTCTCTATTATAACCAGTAGCCAGTCTCAATATTGTTTGTATTGAGTTCTAATTATATGACAGTTTACCTACCATTTTTAGTAAACAGAAACATGGAAGCCTGGGAAGAGTTTTATTTCCATTTTGAATGATCATATTTTCATAATGATGGCCTAGCATTTATTGATCCCGCTGGGTGTCAGGAACTGAGCAGTGGGCTTGGTATAAAGCATCACGCCCTTTAGTGTCTTGGCCCATCATTCTTCCTTCACTAAACTACTCATTCAGTTTCAGTGTTTTTTTTTTTAATTTTCCTTCTTTCAATTAAACTGTTGACTTCTTTGGTGTTCATTAGAAAGTATATCCAAACAAGTATTTTTACAACAGCACTTACATTACACATAGAATACATTTCTTTCCTTGAGCTCCAGGAAGGAAGTCTACCTTTTTTCAAAATACATACAAAATAACCATTTGACATGTTGAGGGAGAGTAGGCATTGGCCCGTGTCCACATTTGGTTGGAATGCTGTTTGTTACTTTTGAAAAAGAAAATAATGATGATGATGGGGCTTATTTCTGTTGTCCTTACCAGAAGATGTTTTTCCCCTGAGAGATTGATAATTCTACGATCAAAGTTGTAATTAAGAATGGGAGAAAACCCAGTCATCAGAGAGGCCATTTTGACTTATCTGTTAATCTATATAATAAAGAGCCAGGGTCCTAACCACCAAAGGCTTGACCAGACCGGAAGTCAGCTGGGTTGCCATGGCAACCCAGCACTGACTGCCTAGGGGTCTGCAGATCAGGCCCTGAGAGAGGCCTACAGAGAGAGAAGCAGGGTCTGATCCGTAGCCTCTGTGGAAGTCATTGATCAGAACTTGCCTCTCTTTCTCTTGGCCTCACCAACAGCCACGCCTCCATTTCTCTCCAGGCCTCCACAGGGGCTGCTGATCAGCCCTGCCTTTCTGATCGGGCCCCATTGATAGGCCCAGAGATGCTGACTGGCATAGAAACTGACTGATCAGAACCAAATCTGGGTGAATATAAGGAGCCAATGGCTGCCTAGGAGGCAGAGCTTTTGACATTGACTAGCATAGAAACTGACCAGTCAGAACCAAATCTGGGTCAACTGTGAGGAGCCAATGGCTGCCTAGGAGGTGGGGCTTTTGATGCTGACTGGCATAGAAACTGACCAATCAGAACTAAATTGGCTGACAGAGGAGGGCAATTGGGGGCGAGATCAGGCTGGCAGGGAAGGGCAGTTAGGGGTGATCAGGCAGGCAGGCACAGTTTGGGGTGATCAGGCAGGCAGGCAGAGACAGTTAGGGGCGATCAGGCAGGCAGGCAGGCAGAGGTTAGGGGTGATCAGGCAGGCAGGCAGGTGAGTAGTTAGGAGCCAGCAGTCCTAGATTGTGAGGGATTGGACCTAAACCGGCGGTCGGACATCCCCCAAGGGGTCCCCAATTGGAGTGGGTACAGGCTGGGCTGAGGGAACCCCCCCTCCATGAACAAATTTCATGCACCAGCCTCTAGTATAAAATAAACCTGATACAGTTACTCAATAAAAAATAGATATGAATGGAATGAACAGAAAATAATGAAATGTGTTCTTCCAGGGTGAGCATTTCAGTTACAGATATGGTTAAGAACTATCCCTGTTCCTTCCTCTTGCCTTTGTCAGTTAGAATCCTAGGTAGGTTAAAAAATCATGAAAATTATTTGCTACATTGTGCCTGGCACTTAGTATTATTTTAAATGAATGAGTAAAGTATTTTGTTATTATGAGCCTTAAATCATGAGGTTTTGAAATCTTACCCCACAAAGTGCTAAACTTGCTATGGTTCTGTGAGACATTTTACAAAGTGAGTTAGGCTTGGAATGCTGTATGAACTTGATGAACTTCATATTTTGGTTGATGGTATTCCTAAGTCATCTTTGTTTACTTCAAGGCTCCAAATTGCACTGCTATCATTGCTGTTATGGCTTGAGTTGTGTCCCTTAAAAAAGATATATTGGAATCTCAACCCCCACCTCCCTTAACCCTGGACCTCAGGATGGAACCTTATTTGGAGATAGGGCCTTTATAGAAGTAATCAAGTTCAAATGAGGTCATTAGATGGGCCCTGACCCAATGTGACTGATGTATTTATAAAAAGGGGACCCTTGGACACAGACACACCCAGGGAGAACGCCATGTGGAGACTGGAGTTGTGCTGCCACCAGGCAAGGAACTACCAGGAACTAGGAGAGAGGCTGGAACAGATCCTTCGAGAGCACCTTCCCTGCCGAGGGAGCACAGCCCTCCCCGCCCTTGAGCTGGGCCTTCTGACCTCCAGAACTGAGACAGAACATTCCCATTGTGCTAAGCCACCCAGGTTTTGTGCTTTGTGACGGCAGCCCTGGGAAACTGTACAGTCACCCTGCAAGAATTGTCTTTGTTCCCAAATGCAGTCAGGAGTGGGATATAAAGGGAACTGGAGAAAGGTCTTACCATCTCTATGAAGAAAATGTGATGTATATTTGTTTTCCCATGATCTAGAGCGCAAACCAACAAAAAGGGGAGCTTTGGCCGGCTGGAGTGGCTCAGTGATTGAATGTCGACCTATGAATCAGGAGGTCTGGGTTCGACTCCCAGTCAGGGCACATGCCCAGGTTGCGGGCTCAATCCCCGGTGTGGGGTATGCAGGAGGCAGCCGATCAATGATTCTCTCTCATCATTGATGTTTCTCTCTCTCCCTTCCTCTCTGAAATCAATAAAAATATATTTTAAAAAGGGAGTTCTTGAAAACCCTTATGACCTTCATCCTTAACCTTACTTCCCAGTATTTACATTATTATTAGTAACACTAGAGGCCCGATGTATGAAATTTGTGCAAGAATAGGCCTTCGCAGCCGCGGCAGCTGCCTTGATCCCTTCCTCGCAGCCACGGCAGCTGCCTCAATTTCACAGCCGCCTTGATTTCACGGCTGCAGCCCCGGCTTTGTCCGGAAGGTCGTTCTGCTGTTCGGCTGGTCAGTCAATTTGCATATTACGCTTTTATTATTTTAAATTATACAGAGGCAGCTTCGGCAGAACCACTCAAGTCACGGGGTTCCACCACATAGTAGCTAGAGGTTCTTAACCTCTTGGGGGCCATCTGCCCTAACCTTTCTGTGCCTCAGTCTCCTCGCCTGTGAAATGGGGACCCTAATTAATGGGGTGGTAATTATGAAGATGAAATGAGATAAGAGAAAAGTTAGAGAACAGTGCTTGGGACAAACCCAGTGCCCAAGAAATGTTACTTGTCATGGTTAGTTGCTAATAACTCATCCTTGATTGTGGATTATTAACTATAAACTGGTTTTATTCTGGTAACTGTCCTACTTAGTGCTTGATTCAGATTCTGTACATTTTTTATAAAGAAGCTCTATGACTTCCAAAAAAGTCATATATTTCTGCTCTAGGCAGCACTTAGCCAAACTCTTAAATTGATCGAAATATTCAATAATTAAATATTCAAAACATAAAAGAAATAAATTTTGGTCATTCACACAATTTAGTCATTAACACAATTTAGTCCATGTAGTCCTTAACACAACTTTGAGTTCTGTTTCCAGGACATTCTTGCTTGACATAACTTACCAAAGTGAAATACTTGGGCCAGAAAAACGAACCCACCCCCCCCTTACTAATAACAGCACTGAACACATTGGGCTGCCACTTCTTTGTGCTTTTTAAAACGTGTACTTGTAGCAAAATTCAGAACTACTTGCCCAAGAGTCTCTGCTCTGCTTTTGTGTCCTGCAGTCTGCCCTGAAAGCATTATGCAGCCCCTGGGAGGCGTGAGAATTGTCTGGCGAGGGTGAGAATCTTACTGCTAAAGACTGGGTCTCTATTAGAAGTAGCTGCCAGGGCTTGGCCCTGCGCCTCCAATAACAAAATAATGGGCAGTGGTTCACCGGCATTATTTTTTTTCACCAGCACTTTTGGTGAAATATGCATATAGGATGAATACGCATTCCTTGGAGCAGTAATGAATGATGGAATTCAGATGGAAGTGATTTGAATGCCCAGGGTGCTTTCCAGTCCATTGCCTTTACTAGAAACGGTGGAGGTTTAGTTCTGTACACAGTCGGGAAATGCTTCA